TCTCCAACGACGTGACCTTCAGTGCAGGGTCGTTCTTTACCATGGAGGATATCTACTTCATGGCCATTACTGACTTGGCTTGTCGTGAGAAACTCCCTCACATCTAGCTGCAACCAATTCAAGCGCCCGCATTGGTGTGGCTGAGGGGGTTTGTGCCTTCTTCCGCATAGGAAGAAGAAGCGTCTACTGGTTGTAGTTTCAAGAACCTATACCTGTGGCCTGAAGATTAAGAGCGCAAGTCGTCCTCTGTCAGGCAGCGACGCAATTGCAGGTGGATTCTCAAAAGCGTATCTTGAAACTTTTAAACTGACTTACGTGTCAGGTCGAACTGTAGAAAGTGGTGCTCTCTTATCTCGTCTTTGTACGCATTACATCCAGCGGCTTGGCCAACCAAACATTTTTATCGGCTTCTCAGCACTAAACAAGTTGCTCGGCAGAGACGTTTACAACTCCCATATGCAGCTGGGAGGTACGAAAGTGATGGCTGTCAATTGTATTATTCATCTCACGGTTGCAGACGAACTTGAAGGGGTTTCCACAATTTTGAAGTGGCTGAGCTTCGTGGCCTTTCATGTGTGAGGCCCTCTCCCCTGCCTGCAATCAGTAGATCCACCTGAAAGGCCAAATGGGAAATTGACCTGAGACCACGTGCGACCCCCGCGCTGTAATCCGTGGACGACAGTAATGGAAAGTAATTGGTTGGTATCTTCGACGAAAGATGCTTTACCGAGACCATGAAAACCTGGGTACAGACTGCGGTGACCGGACGCGCCGAGACAGGAAGCATCTAATTGGGGGCATTCTAGAGGCTGGCTCCGTGATCGTGCAGCACTTGCGCGTGTATAAGCAGCCCGTGCTCGCGGCAATTCTCAAGTCTGGGGAGATTCGTGGGGTAGTGTGGGTGGTGGTGAACAGGAAAATCAACTCTGACAAGGTGGAAATGTACGCTGAAAATACAGCAACGGGAGGAGTTCTGGAATCCGAAAGAATATTTGAGATAAAATTGCGGATGTTCGAACTCTTCGAATGCATGCACCGCCTTCACCCTCAGCTTAAAGGTGTGAGGGAAGAATTGCAGCATCATAAGGGTTCAGTACCCATTGCTGCATCTGAAAGGATCCAGCAACAAATCAAGCTGAAGAAAAACCCTACACCTGTCCATAGGCAATTTGAAATCAAATTTTCAGAACTTCACGTCACTCCTAACCGAACGGCTGCCAAGAGGATCATCAAGAAGGTACGTTGATCACGTAGCTTACCATGGTCTAGATCTAATTTGTTGAGACTAGGATTGATGGCTAATAAAAATGAATGCAACGCGTTCAGGTCGTGGAATGGACCCAATCTCGAACCTTCTTCCAGCGCTAGAAGAGGAGATTTTCAGGGGAAAACCTTGTTCAGCAGCGTTAAGAGGCTTGAGGTCAGATCAGTCATTCTGCGGCCTTTACGTTGATCAAAGAGATCTTCTCAACAGCATCTACAAGTGGATACTGGGAATGGGAAGATGACATGCAATTTTATGGTATGGACCCACCAGTCAACAGACCCGGAAGAGCACTTGGAGGAGATCCATGCACAGGACTTAGAGAAGGAGATGTTGGCTTCGGAAGCCTCAGCTGCCTTGTACTGAAGGCCCTTCCGCCGGATTTATGTGCACCACTGCGCTCGGAAAGCTTTCGCCAGACCCCAGCTTCCGTGGCTATCCTGGTGCAGGAGCTTCAAATTTGAGAAGATTCTAAACGCCAGATGTTTTCCGTGTGTAGGTGAATGCAATTACTAGATCTAAATTAGTGAAGGGCCTAAAGCAAACCCTGGATGCGTCCTTAAATTGTCATTATATAGACTAAAATAACTTCCGAAATACATTTCTCATTATTTCTCAATTACTGCTCTTTCTTGCTCTGAAAAAACAACCTTTCACAAAAACATATTTAGATGCTTCTTCGAAAGGGAAAGGAAACTATATGGTTGTGTTGCACATTGGGAGAAACTAGAGGTATATGCTACGGCGGCCTGGAGACAAAGCCCACAAATGTTGTATCATTAGTCGTTTTTCCCCTTTACATACTAATTTGTACATACTGGAGATTAGACAACACTGAGCAGTAGCTCCTGTGGCCTTCGACGAGTCTTGTGTGAATCGCCTGTTTGTTGAATCGTTAATCGTCACTAAAGCTTCACAAGCGCGTCACTTGTCCCTGAGCCAGATGCTTTGAAGCTCTCATCGAAAAGCCTGCAATTTCTACACATGCTTCGGATTGTCCCAGTTGCGCAGCTGGCAAAGTGGGTTTGTTTTTTTTTGTCTTGTTTGTTTGTTTTTTTGGTTTGCTTGCTTGTTTGCTTGTGCTCCCATTCATCTTCCTACTTTTTTGTCTGCTCTGCTGTTGCAAGATTTTGCATTGTGGAAAATGACTAAAGCGACTTTGAACCAGTTCTTACACGTAAGAGGTTTCTGCCCTAACGTAGCCACCGTATACCTAACGCTATGCCAGCAAAGATCGGCAAGAGAAAGCAGCAGTCACGGTCCATTCCCCTTCACAAAACTGTGCATGGAAGAATCCAAGGCGCAGACTCTGGAAGTTTGTGATCATGAAGGTTCTAGAATCCTTCATTCATTCAGAATACATCCCCTGAAATACTTATCCATTCCAAATTCATTTCCAATAATGGTGATACATTCCTCCAGCTTCGACTCTTCATTGAACATTAAATGGCACACTGTGTCCTTTAAAACTGGGATTATTTGAAGTTGATGGTGCAAATTAATACCTTTGTAGACCAACATTTCCTCTCTTTTCTGTGCTAAGCTGCCACCAACAACAAACAATTCACCATGAAACCTAGAACCATGGCTCTAGATGGCTCCACAAAGGACCCAAATTGTAGGCACATTTCTATTGTGGGATAGAGAAACCCACTAATGTGTAGGAATGGAGACCATGGGCCTCATTCACACTGGGATGAGGACTATTTTTCCAGTGGGCCCTAGATCACACTGGAAGGCATGGGGGTGAGCTCATAGGGAAGCAGGACTCACATGAGATGTGCCTTGCACAGGTGATCCATTACTCTCAGGATGACCTTTATTTTGCCATACCCTCCAATCAATACTCCAATTCCATTGTTAAAAAGAATAATTATTTAAAGAACAATGGAAAGTTCAAGCAAATTTGAGAAAAAAGGGCAAAGGAGAGCCCTCTTTAATTTCAATGACTTCCCCTTGACTTCCAATCTGATCATTGGAAAGAAGTTTCTGGAATCAAATTTGTGGGATAGAGTGAGCCTTGACCCACAAGACTAAACATGTGATTCAATTGTGACTACTCAAACAATTGAATTGAATATATGAGGACACTGAATTCTGCAAAATAATTTTGGGGATTTCACGCATAATGCATGTGGGTACAATTGACAAGGAAGAATGACTTTGAGTAAATCACAAGTGGGTACAGAACAGAAAATCATTTTTTTGAACTTTTAGTACCTTTAAACTTTGCCATATATTGCACAATTCTGCTTTATATGTTTACATATTACTTTAATTCAGTCCAACAAAAAGAAATCATCTTTGTTAAAGATTGGGTCGTTCCTATCCCAAATACAGAATTCAATTGACTACCATAACAAATGTTGTGATAATTATGTACACTATGACATGAGAACTGTGATTGTAAATAAAATTCTGCATGCATGTACACGAACATAAATATAAAACTAACATTTCTTATGCCATCTTTGATTTGTACAAGAAAGTGATGTAGTCATTTTTATAATGTTGAAGTTCAGATGATTATATTGACATGTTGAAGACTATATTTTTACATGAAAAAACTTAAAAGAATCATGAGGTAAAAACACTAAAGTATTCTGTCAAAATATCAGATAACAAATTATAGTTTTGCTGAGACAAATAAAAAATAAAAATAAAAAACCAAAATATTACAACTAAGAATTTCAATTATTTCAATTTCAATTTTTAGTCTAATTAAATATCAAAATTTAATTGAAATATTTACAGTCGAAATCGAAAATTCTAAATACACACAATTACAAGGTGTCATAGTAATCCTTTAAATTTATATAAGTTGTTTATAAAATTTAATCATATAATAATAATAATAATAATAAGTTAACTCCAATGGTTTTTCTATATGAAATATTTAATAGGTAAAAATTACATATTACATATATTAATTGAATATTTAATTACTTGGCACTACAATACAAGGTCTTCAATACAATACATATACATTGAAATCATATATATATATATATTACACACATACACATACACATGCATACACACACACAAAATTATTTGCTACAAATACTTTTGGATTCAACTGCCAATCACACCCACAGTTAAGAATCACGTACAACATCAAGAATTGGTATGCTATCAAGCAACCCAACACACAAGCACACATGGTAGAAACCCAGAATTTGCCATTTCAATAATTTACAATATTCCTATTGATTTGTTTCAACCAAGGAACTCACTCCCATGGTGGCATGCAGTCCAGCAAAGTAGCTCATGTTACAAGGCCTAATGGATGAGGATTGGGCCTCAAAAGAGGATAGATGGATGAGGGCCACACCACAAGGAAAGTCTGCATGGAGCCAAGGGCAAGGCAGGGCAGGGCAGGGAAGGCCGCCTGGCGAGGGTAGAAACGTCACAAGGGCCTCGCTTCACTGGATTAGAATAGAAACCCACGCACCCCAGAAGACACGTGAAGTGAAGAGAAGAACTGGGTCGGGGGCCGACACCTGCCTGCACTCACGCACAGCAGCGCTGCAGTGCGGGGAAGGGGAAAAGGAATGGAAAAGGCAAGGTAAGGCGAAGGGGGAGTGAAGCACAGCTTAGCGTAGCGGAGTGGAGCTGGAGGGATACCCACCTCCTCCGACTGATCCATCGACTGGCGGACGGGGAGTAGGAGGAGGAGGGGGTGGGGTGGGAAAGTGGGTGGGTGCCCTCCTGCCCTTTCTTTTGCGGTCCCCTTCCCACCCCCGCCCTATGCCCCCCGCCCTTCCTTCCTTCAAGAAACGGTCTCAGACGAACTGCCAAAGAGGGAAGGGGGTTGGCTGATATCACAGGGACAGGCACCACGGCCTTTTGAATGCAGGCTCACGACGGGGAGGTGCCGGCATGCAGCCGGCCCCCCGCCATAGCTCCAGATCTACCACCATCTTCCGCTGAGAACCCGACACTGACACCGTCACAGACACCTGGAGTTGTAGGGGGGGCAGGGGTAGCGGCAACAGTCACAGCATCCTCGCAGCAGCAACCACAACTTCAAGGAGCGCAGTCTGTGAATCAGTCTAGTTCGCAGCAGCAGCAGCAGCAACAACAGCCTCAGCCACACCAACCAGGGGTGCCGACTCAGGGGGCGTTTCAGCAGGGGCATCAGCAAAGCAATCAACAACAACAAAATTTAGGTGTTAGCAATAGTGGGGGTGCCACTTCTTCTGCAGCATGGACACAGCTTGCCCCTGCTTATTTACTTCAACAGGTGGGGAGATACTGCAATCGCTGTCGGAGTTATGTCATTACATGATTGCCACTTACCAAACCCTAAGGAAGTTTTTTTTGTCTCTTTTTCTTCGATTAGGTTCGCCTATTCTGTTTCTTTTAGAACCTGCTGAATTTCAGGCTTCGTGTTGTTTATGGGGGGCCTGCCATGATCAATGCAGTTTCCGCTGGACCTTTCGTACTAAGTTGGCCCTTCCGTCTACAGAGTTTGATAGTTGATAGATTACGCTAAGGGCATATCTTGGGTTTTACTTAGGAGGGTTAGTCTGCTTTTTTGAACAGTGTTACGTGCACACTTCGTTAGCCTCGGCATATCTATCTTTGCGCTATCGTATTGTATATTTGTAGAATTTTTTGGAATTTACCCGCTGGTTCAGGTGGCATGGTGCGTCTCATCGTCTGTGTCGAGTATATAGGAGATCTATTCCTGTTTTATTCTCACATCGCGATTACTGTGGGTGTGTGTATTTTTTGTTTTAATTTGTATATCCTTCATCCTTTAAAATATCACTTTTCCTTAGTACTGGATATTGCACATTATAAATCAGACCGGCAGTGTGGTCGAACTTATTCGGTTTATTTTGACATATTTCATATAGCGACTGTGGGGAAGGAGAGTAGTTCGAAAATTCCCCTACGTAAAGAGGCTGGGGACTGATCGGTCTTGGCTTTTCAACTGATTGGTATTACTGCCCCCTCTTAGCATGAATAGAGCTGCTGGTAGTCTTGGGTTCCTGTCTTACCATTATTAGGGTTCTAAGCTTGAAACATAAAGTCCTATGTCCACCTCTGTTTACCTGTTCATCGAATTTATTTCTTACCTCTCTATAATCTGGGGGTATGGCCATCATAGTTGCCCAGAGGGTTGGTGTTAGGATGTTTCTCAAGTGTTCGGAGAGTGCCACGGGTCGCCTCTATCGTCTTAATCGTAACAGTGAAATATAAACAGTGTTCTTGCGAGGTCTTTTTCAAGTTGCTGGTTTTCATTACCAAAGATTGCTTCATTATTCCATTTACCTTAGATTGCACTTCACTAAGTCACTTGATATACTGATCGATGTTTCAGAAAATGCCTCAGCTTGCTCAATTGACTTGCCGTAAACTGATTTATCCTATATTGCTGACGCCTAGTGTATCTAGTAGTGCGGGCATGATAATTTGTTTTGTTGCTCTTCTGATGTTTCCCTTATATTTTTCTCTCGAAGATTTTCCCACCTTTAAATACTGAAGTCGAGTTGTGCACACTATCATATATATATATATATAGTTTTCGGTTGTTGATTGGCTTGTGCTGTGATGTCGTTTTTCTGCAGCTGCAACATTTGCGAGACTCTGGTCAGGCCAGTGATCCACGATATAAGACAATATTATCCTTTCTTCAGGCTCAGCAGGCTGCCGGAAACAATCAAGGAGTTGCGAGCATCGGTGGTAGCACTGGAGGGGGTCCTTCTGGCTCCCTCCCTTCTTCAATTCAGCAAAGATTTCAGCAGGATGGAAATTCTCGGAGCAGCGGTGATTCCCAGACCACCAGCTTGGGTAATTCTGACTCTAGTCGCGGATCTCAGTCACATTCTCAAGCTGCATACCTGCAGCAAGCGTTGCTATCTGCACAGCAGAAAGCTCAAGCTACTGCTTACAGCCAGCAGAAGGTTACTAAGCCCTTGCAAACAGGTCCCACCAGGGATTTCAACAGCGCAAACAACCTTAACATGCAGGTACGCGCATGCACCTCAATATTTCCTGATCTGAACTCTTTTTTTCAATTTGTACAGTATTTTAGCGGTCCTGAGAAGGAAAGGTTGAACCTTAGCTGTTTCCAGATTTAGAGTTAGGGTTTGTGAACCTTGTGTCCACGCACTTGTACAGGGAGCGAGAGTGACATTAATTCTAGTTATCGCTTCACACGCCACTGCGCTGCTCACAGCCAAAGCGTGTCAAATAATATTCGGCATTCAAAGGGCTACTTTTATTGGCTTTCTTCGAGTGAATCGAATTGTAATGGTGTTTGTCTCAGGAGTTAATGCATCGGCAGCTTGCTGGAAGACAATTGCAACAGCTACCACAACCTGGAAGTGTCGCCGGTGGTCAGACTAATTCGGCTGAGAAGCCTAGAAATCAAGCACGGCCCGGTAATCAGCAGCCATCACGGTCAGATGCTATGTCTGTTGCCTATCCTCATGGGAGCTTTCCACGACCAACTTCAGGAGTGGTGCAAGGTGTGCAAAATCACCAACAGCGTGTTCAGAGTAATTCGAGCTCTCAGTTTAGTGGTATGACAACTGTTAGCTCCGCTATGCCCGCCAATACTCTACTCCCTGTGCAAGCTCAATCTTCCACACAGTTTTTACCTCAATACCAAGCTCATGTAGCAGCTATGCAGAATTTGGCTGGTCAAAGTGGTATGATGATGTCTCAGACCAGACCGATGGCAGTATCTGGTCCGCAGCTGACTTCAGGTGTAGACCAGAGCCGGATTGGAGCAGTGGGTGGAGCTCCCATGCTTATGACATCTAGTGGCCTTCCATTAGGTGGATATCCCAAATCGGTTCCTATGCCTATGTTCTATCAAGGTATACATGGCAGCAATTCTTCTGTCTCTGGCGGAACTGCTCCTGAAATGATCCCTAGTTTTGTAATGTATCATAACTCGGCTCAAGGTGGGGAGGCTAGGACTCAGTCAAGTGCTACTCTTCAATCCAATACAGGTACGAGTTATTTTATTTTATTTTTATTTTTATTTTTTAATAATTTTATTTTAATGAAGAGAAAGTTTGATTTGAAGGTTCCTTCAGTTTTTGCTAAGTTCATTCCTAGTTCTTGCACCTTACAGTCTGGTCTCTCACACACAATGCTTTGTACCACCCTCTTTTATTTGCTATAATTGAAAAAGACTGGGATTTGGCAGTTTGTGATCTAATCTGTAGTTGTAAAAATATTTACAGGTCCTGTGAATAGCACTTTGTTATCATCGAAAGCTTCAAATGCAGAGTCTGGTACAGAGACAATTGACAGATCAGGTAGTGGGTCCAATCAATTAGGTCAACCTACAGCGCAGCCGCAAGTTTCTAGACCAACCTTGACTGTGGGCGGTGCAGAAGGTTTTGGAGTCTCCCAGCAGTCTAGGCACCCTCCAGCTCAGCAACAGCCTTCAGGTTTTGGTTTCAGCAAGTACCAGCTTACACTACTTCGAAATCAGATATTGGCTTTCAAGAAGCTTAGAGCAAGGAAGGTGTGTATCATCAACATTTTAGAAGTGGATAACCTATGTGAATCGAATGTTTAATTTGTCCTAGGCATCGGGTAGGATAGTTTTTGATGTAATCATAGTACATGTTCATCACTTCTCCGTTGCCAAGATAGTCTACTACGAGTATGTTACTCAAAAAAGTTTCTTTTTTGTTTTGATCTGCAGCCTGGGGAAACTACTGTCGCTGAGGAGATAAAGCGTCTTATCAATCCTCCGCTTCGATCATCACAACATTCCTCTCAGTTATCGGCTGTTTCGCGTCTTAGAGAACAAGCCCCTATCCCTCAAGCCGTTGGGAAGGAACCCGAGCCTTTAGGAAAAGTTGCTCATGAGTCTAATTCAAAACCCGTTGAAAACCGAACCAAGGAATCGTCAGTTACTAAAGATTCCGAGGTTTCAAAGGAGGTGAATACTAGAGATGGAGCTATAAAGGTGGACGGCACTCCCTCAGCTACTTGCATGCCGAATGTTGACAGTGGGAATGGTAAAGGTGCCCCAAGCATGAAGCTTGAATCCCCTCAAGTTAAGTCTGAACAAAGAATAAAACATGAGGGTGCTGCAAAGACGGAGACGAAGGACATGAAGTCTAACAAGGTCGATATTAGCAGAATGTCCGGACCAACTTCTACTCCCAATGTAACAGGAAGCAGAACGCCTCCCCCTTCTACTTTGATGCCACCCTCCATTCGAAAGGTTTTACCAGTTAAAATGACTCCTTATCGTGGTCCCCTCTTTGATTTCCCTCCTGTCAGTAAAAGAATTGATGGAGCTGCACTTTCTCTACCACCTCAAGCAATCCCTTGGGGTCAGCCAGTTTCTCTTGGCTACAAAGTCGAGGATCTTCTTTTGGATGAAGGTGTGCGTGTCATTGACAAAAAAAGAGCGGAGAGGCTTGAAACAATTTCAGATGTTTTGAATACAAGAAACGGCAAGAAGTTACTACAGTCCTATCAGATCGTGAGGCTTCGTATTGAGGAAAAGAAGTTACGGCTGCTGGAGCTTCAACATCGTGTTCGGGATGAAGTGGAGCAGCAACAGCAGGAGATAATGGCTATGGGGGAGCGGGCTTACAGGAAGTTTGTTCGCTTATGTGATAGGCAACGGATGGACCTCTCTAGACAATCGATTACGCTGCAAAAGACTACTCGTGAAAAGCACTTAAAAGCACTTATGCAGTGGCGAAAGAAGTTATTAGAGTCACAGTGGGCATCCAGAGATGCGCGTGTTACTAGGAACAGAGGTGTTGCGAAATATCATGAACGTATGCTCAGAGAGTACTCCAAGCGGAAGGATGAGGATCGCACTAAGAGGATGGAGGCTTTGAAAAACAATGACGTTGATGCCTACAGGGAGATGTTAAAACAGCAACAAGGTCAGCTTAATGGAGACGCTGGGGAGAGGTTTGAGGTGCTGTCCTCCTTCCTCTCACAGACAGAAGAATATTTGCATAAACTGGGAGGAAAAATATCCGCTGTTAAGAATCATCAGGAACGAGAGGAAGCTGCTACAGCAGCTGCAGCTTCTGCTAGAGCACAGGTATTACAGAATGCTCCTCCAGTGCTAGTCTGCTGAGCATAATATGTACGTTTGATTTGGAACCAGCGGCTCGGCTTTTGGAGTTGGAATGAAGTATTTATGTTGTGTCTGGATTACATATCTGACCTTACACTTGTTTACTCGTAGGGTTACTCAGAAGAGGAAGCGCAGCAAGCAGCAATCCGAGCTAGTGAAGAAGCTGAAGTTAACGGTTACGTTAACAGAGTGCCACATGATTCTTCTGTACATAAGTAAGTATATCTGCTAACCTTTTCGGAATGTGGCATAGCATTTTTCGTATGTTTGCGATCGAGGACCTACTGCTTTTATATTGCTTCCGGTCATTGTTGACAATTGTAACACTTGTGTTGTGGATTAATGTTTTTACTAACTACGCGTTGGCAAGTATGGAGCTTATTAACCCTGTCCTTGCTTCTTCTACGACTGAATTCTCTATGGACGTCACAGATATTACAGTTTGGCGCACGCAGTGCATGAGAAGATTGTCAAACAACCATCAATGCTTGCTGTTGGTGTGTTGCGAGATTACCAAATGGTAGGTGTTGGTATTTGAATTATATCTTTCCCTCTTAAAGTTCGGCCACAACACCTTTGTAGACGGCAGTTGAAGTCATGAAATTTCGAAAGGCAATTTCGAACGGTTTAATGTAGAAGGGCTACCTCTTTGAGCGATTCGGAATTGTGTTGGCGTAACGAGGAATTATGTGTTCTGAATTGCTTCTGTTTTTTTACAGGTGGGTTTACAGTGGATGCTATCATTGTACAATAATAGGCTGAATGGGATACTTGCGGATGAAATGGGACTCGGGAAAACAGTCCAGGTGACGTTGCACTTTTTCGAAACGCATGAAATGAAGTTCATTTGGGTTATGTTCGAGAGACGGACATCAATTTTAGTTTTTGTACATGGTCTATTTTTCCACTTTTAAACAGTTTTAAATCTTAAAAAGTACTCGATCTCTGGTTAGAGAATTTTGTCAGACTTAAAAATGCACACACTGGTCCTCACATGCTACGGACAATAATTTTTGCACTTGCACATTAGAATATTTGAAAGTAGATGACATGTCTTTTTAGAGGTGTGTTTGGTAATATAATATGTTAGTTGATACCAATTTGTTTGCGTGCGGACCTCTACAGGTAATGGCACTTATTGCTTATCTCATGGAGTTCAAGGGCAACTACGGACCCCACTTAATTATTGTACCCAACGCTGTTATGGTTAATTGGAAGGTACTTTTTGTTCACTATTGTTCAAGTTACTTTTTGATGAAATGAGAAGTTCTTTTTGGCCATACTAGCTTCTCCTAACTTAACTGAATTCGATTTCATACATGATTTTATTTTTCCTTATGACTTACGGTACTTTCCTGCTAAAATTTACTCATTGTTCTTACTGTGTACATTGACATTACCATTTGTGCAGAGTGAGTTAACGAGATGGCTCCCATCCGCCTCTTGTATATATTATGTTGGACATAAAGATCAACGTGCCAAAATATTTTCCCAGGTTGGTTTTCTATCAGAATATCTAGCTCCAATTCTAGTTGCAATATCTGATTTTTCACTTGTTTCAATCGATCCATAATCCCCCTTTTCGTTTGCTCTGCTCAGGAGGTGTGCTCGATGAAGTTCAATGTGTTGGTGACAACGTATGAGTTTATTATGCGCGATCGATCTAAACTGGCAAAAGTGGATTGGAAGTACATAATTATCGACGAAGCCCAACGCATGAAGGATCGTGAATCACGTCTTGCCCGTGACCTCGATCGATTTCGTTGCTCGCGGCGATTGCTGCTTACGGGCACTCCACTACAGGTATATGTCATAGTGCTCTTTCGATCTGTCTTCTTGACAATTGGGATCTATGTCTCCATCTAACGTTTGTCCAACATCATACATGGCATTTTGTCACCGTGCTGATGACGGTTGGTATCTTTGCAGAATGATCTTCATGAGCTGTGGTCGCTTCTTAATCTGCTACTCCCTGAAGTATTTGACAACAGTAAGGCATTTCATGAGTGGTTTTCGAAACCCTTTCAGAAGGACCCCACTCAGAGTGAAGAGGATGATTGGCTGGAGACTGAGAAAAAAGTCATTGTTATTCATAGGCTCCACCAGATTCTCGAACCTTTCATGTTGCGGCGTCGTGTTGAGGATGTAGAAGGATCTCTTCCTCCCAAGGTGATAATTTGTTCACTATCGTTAATAGTGCAATTCATGTTTTGTGATCATCTTTTGACGCCATCCAGTCATCTTTCAATTTTTAGATTATATGCCACAAATTCATCTTTAGGACGATATCCTTATTTCAATTTTTATCCTGGTTCCACAGGTATCAGTTGTTCTTAAATGCAAAATGTCAGCATACCAGGCAGCAATTTATGATTGGGTGAAAACAACTGGGACCCTGCGTTTAGATCCGGATGATGAGGCCCAAAGGATCGCTGGAAACAGCAAGCGGCAAGCACGAGCCTACGCTCCATTGCAGAATAAGTGTATGGAACTACGTAAAGTCTGCAATCACCCATATTTAAATTATCCTCCGAGGTATCATATCCAAGGGGATATGACAGTACGTACCTGTGGGAAGCTGTGGATTCTAGATCGTATCCTGGTGAAGCTGCATAAGACGGGCCATCGAGTCCTGCTCTTCAGCACTATGACTAGGTTGCTGGATATACTAGAAGATTACTTACAGTGGAGAAGACTTATTTACCGTCGCATTGACGGAATGACAACCCTTGAGGCTCGGGAATCAGCTATAGTTGAGTTTAATCGGCCGGATTCTGACTGCTTTATCTTTCTGCTTAGTATTCGTGCTGCTGGCAGAGGTCTTAATCTGCAGACAGCTGATACGGTGATTGTGTATGATCCTGACCCTAATCCAAAAAATGAGGAGCAAGCCGTGGCACGGGCACATCGCATTGGGCAAAAGAGAGAGGTTCGTGTTATTTACATGGAGGCTGTGGTCGAAAGTACTCCAAGCTATGAGAAGGAGGATGAGCTGCGGAGTGGGGGATCCTTGGACGAGAAAGACGATGAAATGGTACCCATAATTTATCAATGAAATCTTGATTAGGTCGTTAGTTGTTGTTTTACTGGTTAATGGTGTGATTTGAAGTTTTTGTTCTTGTGTTCGCACTTGTACCTTTGATTCTGCACTATGAAGTGATCTTTGCTGCTTTTTGTAGTTGTAAGGGTGTTTGTACTTGAGCTTTATCGTGTTTGGTTCAGGCTGGTAAGGATCGGTACGTGGGTTCCGTGGAGAGCTTGGTTCGCAATAATATTCAGCAGCATAAAATCGATATGGCTGATGAAGTTATCAATGCTGGGAGGTTCGACCAACGAACGACTCAGGAGGAGAGACGACTCACACTGGAAGCTCTATTGCATGATGAAGAAAGATATCAGCAAACAGTTCATGATGTTCCCACTTTACAAGAAGTGAATCGAATGATCGCAAGAACAGACGACGAATTGGAACTTTTTGATAAAATGGATGAGGAATGGAAGTGGGTTGGTGATCTTCTCCCTCATCATAAAATTCCTAAATGGATGCGTGTTGGGTCTCGAGAAGTCAATGCTGCAATTGAAGCCACTTCCAAAGAGTCCATGAAGAAGGGTTTCTTGGGAGCAGTGGGGACACAGGAAGCTGAAGACCTGTTAGCTCATCAGGTGATAAAAGGACCTGCTGCACCTCCAAAAGCTCTTGAGAAACGCTCCAAGAGTACCAGCAGGTACAAGAACTATCGGGAGGTGGAAATAGACGACGATTTTTTCCCTGAAAAGGAGGCTGAGGAATATGAAGAAGATGAGCGAGAATCAGTTATTGAAGAGGTATTAACTGCTGCGAATGCTGATGATGAAGAGGAGGAGGAAGGAGGTGTTAATGAAGGAGAAGATCAAGATGAAGGTAGCGGTTATGAGTATTATTTGAAACTCTTCATCGTCAAAATTTTGTTTGATTGGTTGGAAGTAGTTTAAGTTATGGAACCATTGCTTGGTTTAAGCTGTCAAAGTCCTCTTTGTTGAAGTAGTGATTTTTGTGTACAGACATGAGGGATGTAGAAGGAGAAGAGCATGAAGTGGAAGAGATTATCGAAGAGGTATTCATTTTGCACTGAACTGGGTAACTTTTTTAGTTTTAAGAAAACACTCTTTTCATCATATCAGCGTATTCAATCTCCTTTAAAGCTCTCATTGGTGCTAGAATAATTCTGTGTTTATTCAGATGTGGTGTGATTCGTCAGCTAATTGCATAAGGCTTATCGTATGGTCTGCAGGTCATAGAGGAAGTTGATGATGACGATGAAGAGGAAGAAGAGGAGGCTGAGCCAGAGGAAGATGTGGAAGAAGAAGGTGAATTAGCCCCCGAAATATCTTCTGACGAAGGCGAGATGTCTCCAGTGAAACCCCAACGGGTAGCTGGTACAAGCCAGTCGAAAAAATTTGCTTCATTATCGGCACTGGAGTCTCGCTCGAGCAAAGCAGAAGAGGTGTGTCTTGTTGAATGTTGTGGATTTCTATGAATTGCGTCGTATGGTAAGGTCAATCATGGAGCTACAAGCTTAACTAATGTCAAAGAAGCAGCTTAACAGTTGGGAAAATTTCTGGTTTAATAGGGTGATGAGCTTGAGGAAGGGGAGATAGCCGCATCTGTTGATTCAGATCAACGGTCAGAAAGCTGGATAGAAGGGAGAGAAGAAGCTGAGGACGTTGCAGATTATGAAGTGGATCACACGATTCAACCTCAAAAGAAAAGAAAACGCAGTCGCAGTCATCGTCGTACTGTCCATTTAGATGGGTTAGGGGAGAGAGAAACTAGTAATGGTTCTTTCAATGAGAGGGAAACACCCCTACTTTCTTTTCGATCGAACAATAGGGCGAAGCAAAATCCTCCGGAATGGTCGAACTTTGGAACAGTTGACCCTGCTCCTCAATCATATGACAAAACAGATCACTGGGGTGGCTCTGCTAAGAAGAGGAGTGTTCCTTTTCCAGAGGCTCAAGTACCAGCACGGCCTCGTATTGTGTTCAAGCACTCCCGAGCAAACGGGTTGCATGAGCCTGCTGCTGAACCGGATTTGGGAAGAGATAACAGGACTGCTAGAACCCAAGCAGGTTTACTGGGGAGCTACTGTGGTGACAAAGGTCGTCTCCCTGAGGGACAACAAAAAAAGGTACAAGATCTACATTTTTGCGTTCTACCTGGATCGAGACGTGGTTGTTGTTCTGATCTCTTTTCTTTTCCTTTCTTTTGTCCTTTATTTTTCAGAGGTCACCTTCGATAGTTTCTGTTTTGTTATACGTTTGTAAATAGTTCTGGTTTTTGTGCAGTGCAAGTCTGTCCTCAGCAAGCTGCATGGAGCAGTCAACAAAGATGGCAGACAGATAGCTGCTCTTTTTCTGGAGCTGCCCAAGCGCAGCGAATTGCCTGAATATTACAAAGTTATAGCTAGGCCAATTAATGCCCATTTAATCGAGGAGAAATTGGATCGCTTAGAGTACCCAAGTGTACTGGAATTCGCATCAGATGTTCATCTTATGATTGATAATGCAGCCCGCTATTATAGCACCTCTGCAGAGGTAATTGATTTTCCTAACTAAACTTAGTTAACAACTCGTTTGAATTTAAAATAAATGGATTGCTGCAGCATCGCTCTAGTAGATTTGGCAAATTGCTGTTGTGTTTCTTCTCGATTGCAGCTCATAACCTCGAATGATTTCGCTTGCAGGTTCAGACAGATGCTCGTCGCTTACAAGCTTTGTTTGATTCGCGGATGTCTCTCATATTTCCAGAAGTTGATTTTTCTTCCGCACGAGTAAGAAGTAATGCACCAGTATTAACTCCACAGGCTCCTCCTGTAACTGGTTCACGAGGTATACTACAGGCTCCCGTAGTAACTGGACCGCGAGGCGTTCGTAGACCTGCTGGTGCTGAATCAGCACAGATTGGAATTTCTCCTAATTCTCGGAGTTCCACAAGGATATCATTGGTCCGACCTGTAGCTCCACCACAGGAGGAAGTACTTGTTACGAATCAGGAAGGCAAGAAGAGCAAGAAAGGAGGGAACGAAAAGTTGAAGGACAAGAATGCGAAGTCGAAGAGTAAAGTCAATAGTAGCGGTAAGAAAAAAGAATTACAAGAGGAAGAGGCGGAGTCGGATCAAGGGATCATGCACCCTGTGGATCTTGTGATACATAAGAAGAAACGTAAAGGTAGGGAACACACAGGAAGTAGGACAGTTAGCTCACCGTTAGTGTTTGATGTGGAGGAGATGAGGGAAGCTAGTGCCCGAGGTTTTACTGTTGGCTCGTCTGGAAATGCTAGGGCTCCCCCACTAGCAACCCCAAGGCCACGGGCGCCGGCTGCCTCTCCTGCAAGTAGCAGACTAAGTGCATCACAACCAGACATCCAAGTGGGTGCTGTCACTGTGTTGAAAAAGTCGAGGACTGATGGTGGGAAACGAAGGCCTAGTCATCCTTAAAATCACCCCTTCCCTGCGCGTTTTTAGAACCCGTCTCACAACAATTTTTATTTCATTTTCTTAAAAGGATTTTTTTTTTCCCCCAAGCATTCGCGAAGTTTGAATCATCTCATCTGTAGTTAATTATCTATCTGATGTTTGTAAGTAGATTCCTCTTCACCAGTTAACCTGGGAATATGTGGAAATTGTGAAATTTATGGCTACAGTTTTGGTTCAACAACAAAGTATTGTGTTCACTACGTTTCCTTGAATTTTCTTATTGAAAACCTTTTCTCACTATTCGGGGATATGCTTGAACTGTTTTTGGAATAACTCTGCAAGGCCTGCAAGCTCTACACTAGGTGGAATTTAATATTTAGAGATAAAGGGCATTGAACATGGCATGAAATGAACCCTTAAGTAGTATGGTTAGATCACTAAAATCTCCATCATCAGGGGGCGTCAGGGTAAGAAGTTGGGTCTTAGAAAATCTTCAGAGAGAAGAATAATTAATACGGAAAACCCATGCTGGAATCCACCTGAGGATATATCAAGTTAGTGGCAAAGCAGGAAAATGTCCTTAAACATCGGATAAAATGATGAGATGGAAACGAAGGTGGGTCGAAAGCTCCACCTTCTCTTGCAAGAAAGGCGAAGGCAGAAAGTTTTCTCCATGAGCGTTTCGGGTGTCACTTCGGGTGTTCCACGCAGCGGCGGATCTGGCGGAGGATGAGATTCTCCTAAGGAGGTGCGTGAACAATAGCTTCTTCCACTCACCGCTGATTGGCTGCTAGACATTTTCTCGAAACATTTCTCTAATGCTTTCTCTCACTCTGACGCCCACAATTGATACTCCAGCATAAATGCATGAAACATTCCCCAAAGCGGTACCACGCTCTCATACTGGAGCTCTAGCATGGCAATGGATTTCAGGAAATGTTTAAGATTTGGAGTTCGCAGCAGGCGAAGCATCTTATGCTGTAAGTCATGTATTAATTCCCTTGCCAAGCTTTGAGCAATCTTTACCATTTACGAAAATCTTGTCTTTGAAGTTGGGTAGAGTCATCTTTACAGGAAGTCACGTGTCTCCGACATTGAAGAGCGGGAACACTAAAAGAGGGGTACATGGTTCCACGGAGGGGTTTAAGGGAATGGGTTCGGATTTAGCGGTCTCAATTGAAAGATTCTGCAACGAACCTGCTAGCGCTGACATCATGCACAAGCACATTCTTGGATAGTTGACCAAGGATGGAGCGCCGCTACCGATCTTTGCAGCTGAATGAAGCACTTTCTCGAAGGTACATGTTTTATGCATGTCGATTTCCTACTTTTTAGGGTTGCAATGAATTTGTGGGAAAGGGGGAATGTTCTCGATTATTATAGCATTTCCACTGGGCAAGCATACATGCATGTATGCGCAATGGTGTATGTCTGTTTGTGCGTGTTTTTTTTGTTGGTGAGCTCACAGGCTTAATTCAGTTATCACTTCGTGCTCTTCCTCTTGGCTCCTGTGGTGCCTTATTTCATGCTAGTTGTAGTTGAACGCTTCCGGCACACAATGGGCTACAATATATGTCCCTAATTTTTATCCTGGTAATGCTGTTGTTCCCCTTGGTATCTAGTTGAATTTAGCATCTATCTTAGTGTCACCTAGAGAAATTTGACGTAGCATAGTCGATATGGACTTTTGCATAGTTATTGGAGTCCATGAGCGAACTTTAGGGTTCTATCTGACCAATGCTTGGATACCAATGATGTGCAGAAATGATTATGCTGAGGCATGTAGGGAGCTACGATGTATTTTGAGGGCTGTCTATGTTTACGCTCCTATTTCCTTTCAGGCGCTGCTATATGAGGACGTCGAGCATGCATTTCACACTCTTTCCAAGTATGTCAGTGGACTTAATTTCAATCTTCCAAGATGTACTCAGGATATGGTTACACAAAGTGGTGCCTTGGTTTAGATGTTAGCCGTTATGCAGTCTTCAACCATTGAGAATCCAGTTTTTATTTGTGCACTGATCCTGATCCTTAGTGGTTTCTATATCATCGTACGTGTAGACGTTAAAGGATAGACATACTAGATTTTAAAATATCACTGAGCGTCGTGGTTCTGGCAGAAAGGAGAAAAGAATGGATGACATCAGACATCTAGAAACTGCAAAGTTGTTGCTGCAAACAGTGGAACAGATTTTCTCTTCGCAAAATTGTACTGAAGTAGTTGCAAAGGGTAAAACAGCAACTAAGACTTGGCACCGACTGTATAACAACCGTAACCCTGAACCTTTGCCTGGTATACCACCTTGAACTTGCCACCATCCCTTGATGCCGTGTTATATGCATCCAAGACTAGGGGCTTAGGAGGTTTGTGCCGTCTTACTTTATTTCCATGAATAAGCTGATTTAGAATGAAATGTAATGCTTTGTTTTGCCAGTAATACTGTGTAGAAATCCGATTGTCAGAAAGACTGGTTCCTTTTTAGAAGGCGTTAGACACCTCTGAAACTCGAATCAAGTCCAGTGTACCCGAAAGACGTTCAACATGACCAGGGAATCAAGTTTCTTTGTAGAAGAAGAGTTGTAACATAGACTCTCTCTGAATGTTGTGTCAGAATATTTACATTTATCAGGAGACATACTGCTTCATGTGTTCGAATATTTGGATGCGCGCTCATTAGCCACAGCATCTGCGGTTTGCAGGTATTCCTTAGAATTAAGTAGTACACTCTTTATTCAGCGGTAACTAAGTTGAAAGCTGGTTGCTATGTTCTAGTTAAAGTATTGGTTAGGGTTAAAGTTGAACCTGGTTAAAAATGGAGAATGATATTGTCTTTTTCAGGGCTTGGAACGTTATTGCAACTGATGGTAAAATTTGGCGGAATTGGTTCTTATATGTCTATGGCACGTCAAATCTCAGAGAGGATCTTATGACTGCAGCCGAAATACGTGAAGATATTATCCCAGACAGTAACAGACCAACTATCTTAAAGAAACCATCAAACAATGCAGTTGGGTACTGGCGCAAAGCTTTCAATCTGTGCTCAAAAGGTATCTTATACCAGAGTTTAGAAGAGGCAATTTTTGGTGCTGTCAATATATGAGTACTTTTTGATATGTGTTAAGATTAAAAACCTCAATGTACAATGCAAGAATATGTCTTAGACGTAAAATGATTTTTCTCATGAAGCGAGTGGTGATTTATTACATTGTTTGCAGGTCGTTCGCCACATTTGTCTACGTTGAATAGAGCTTATTGTCCAACTTGCAAAGAAGTGATATGGTTGAGAGACCCCCCTTGGAAACCTGCCAAAGGCTTGTGTGTTACACGAGAGCAGGTCTTGGAATACCATTCACCTAGACCAATTTCTGTCAGCCAGGTATGTTTTCACACCCTCACAAGCATTATTTATACAAAAAATAATAATTTGTGGGGATCTTTTTACTTTTGATGATTCAAAGTTGGTGCATTTGTTGTCTACAATATTGTTATGTTCAATAATCTTGAAATTGGCTTATTGCAGGTGGTAAGGTTTGTTGTGAGCATGGCCCGCGTTTCAGACTCTTGCAGTAGAGATTCTGATGACGATGATGATCACAATTTAGAAAATAGCTTCCTTGAATTATAGAGCATGCACGTGTTTAGGTGTTTTACAGCACAGGTTGCTTATGAATTGACAGCTTCTCTTTTTTGAGTTATTCTACTTATATTGATTTCCTAATTTTCTTTTTGGTTCAATGGTCTTCAAATTATTACACCTGATAACCTGTTTCTTAAGTAGGTGTCATATATAGAAGGTTCCAATGAATACTAGGGAACATGTTACTTACATGCAAGGAAATTACTGAATCTTCCCTCAACTTCCTTGGATTGGTTTAAGTGGAATTTGGAAAGCCTCATCAAACTTACACCAACCTAAGATGGTGAGTAACACATGTGAGGTTATATTAAAAACTATTGGTAAACTATGATGGATATTGTAGGAAAGATCTAGATTACATTGATGATACTGTTGGAGAAGGTGAGAGATGAATTCTGCAAATGTGTTAAATTTACCCCAATTCTTTAAGGAGCCCACTGTCATTCAACTTCTTAGCAAATTTGTTTAAGATAATTTGACAATGCCAGTGAATAGTATTGTGCAAAATTTTATAACAAGATTAGAAAATTGGTTTTTTAAAATTTATACTAAAATTGGATTTTGTACTAATGTGAAGAAATAGGTATTTTAGTTTTCTTAAATGAAGTTTATTCACAATGTAATTTCCAACAAAGTCTTTTTAGTATATCTCAAGTAAATTTGGATTCTTGAGAAATGGCCAATCCTAAAAATAAAATCTCATATTTGATATTTTTTAATATTTCAAAAACTATTGTATAATATTCATTAATAATTATTTGCTAACAGTTGTCTTTCTTAAATGGCTTATGTATGAATTTATATTGAAACTTGATGCAAATAAAACATTTATGAACTTAAAGATGTCATTTTTAATTATCTAAATTTTATTACGTCTCAATTTTAAGAATATATTTCTATAGAATTTAAACCTTTAAACATTACTCTTATAGAAATATATTCTTAAAATTGAGACCCCTAATAGTCTTCATCCTCATTGTCCTGGTCTTCACATTTCGCCGCTCTCTTCATCCTAAATGTCCTAGACTCGGTTTGATTCTCCAGGTTTTTTCAAGAACTTGATCTCATTCAACGATTTCATGGTTAATACTTCAAATTTCATCACAGGAGATTCAGGGCTCTCCATGTCCTCTGCCGCGGCTTCTTCTTTGTCAATGTTTTTTCAGGCGCTCCTTCAAAGATATGGCTGTCTGAGCAGAAACCATTCGCTATGTGTGTGTCCAGTTCTCGTGTAGTTCGAAAATGCGGTAACCCCCGAACGACAATAACGTACGCTTGCTTGTCATCTAGAGAAGCGGAATCAGGGTAAGTAATTTCAGGATCGTTGGGTCGTTGCTCAGTGTTCGAGTCTCCTCGAAAGTTTTACTCCCTGAACTCTGCACGCCCTTCCACTTCGTAACCTTTATATTGAGCACTAGGCTTCAGCGCGTTAGCTTATACCAACTAAGCAACTAACTTCACTAGAATCTATTTTAACAGCCTCAAACTTGACTATACCTGTAAGATCCGAAAATATGATCTTCAGTCAAGAAAGTCACTCTCCAGCTAATTACGTAGTTTGCAGAGAACCTAGCTCTTGAATCAGCAAAGTTGATTCTTCGAATTCTAGACTCAAGACTTTAGCCTCATTGCAACATTCTGACACTCAAAAAGTTACGACACACTCGATATTTGCCACCTCGACCACATCAACAACTCATGGAAGGCACCCCTCAGTGCACCCAGAATTGCGCATGAGTTTGGTCACATGGGAAAGAAAGTTCGCAGTCCACGAATCCACGGCCCTAGACAACGACGATGACGATGACGTGAACTGATGACAGGGGACGTGGCAGAGCGGCGGAATGATTACTCATTCAGGTTACCCCATCATTCACCTGCACAGATGCCGAGAAAAACAATCAATCAAGGCTGCTAAAGTTTGGCAACAATAATCCCTACAATCTCAGGCTCCAGAGTACTGTGTCTGGAATTGGACGGCAAAGCAACTCAAAAGATTGTGACGACGGGGATGTGACAAGCTTAAATTTATGCAGGGAATTGGTGCGCTTTGGGATGATTTTGGAGGGATAAGGTGTCGGCTTCTTGTGACCTTCGGGTAGTCGGTAATCACTTGAAATTAACAATTAATCTTTAGTGCTAGTAGCTCAAAATTGCTCTTCTAATCAGGGAATCGCAGGATCTTCAATCATTCAGGATGTCATTGTACAATTGATGCGGTGCTACCGAAATATTGGGCACAATTAGGATTATGCTTGTAAAGTTCTAAATCTATAGATACTTGCGGTATTTTTAATTTGATTGTATACCACCTTGTGAAAATGATGTGAAACAAGATCGATATTCTGCAGCTTACCTTGAATTGAGGAGATCTCTACCCAAATTTTGAGTATATTCGAAGACCTGAGTTACCCTCTACAAGGCATTTATCAAACAAATTTATTGTTCCAAATTCTCGCTTCAAGGACAGATAGCCCGATCGAGAAATCACATCCTTTTCAGAAATACATATATATATATATATATATATAAATTGCAATGTCTATGGGAGTGGTCCTAAGTGGGTCACTTTCTCCAGTCTTTGGTCTCCGCTCATTATAGATGTTTGCAAGCTGGTTCCGTCTGAAGGAGGGAGCGGTAGCGGTCGATGGCCCGACTGCAGCGTTGCCATCTCTAACAGAGTGTCGCGCATTTGTTCGACGCCAATGAGCTCCTTGTCTCTTACCTTTACAAACGTATCAGAAAGATGATCAATTACTCCATTTCAAGAGAACCTCAACGTTTTTTTTCTTTTAACCCAAAATTATGAGGGAGATGCAATTACCTCGGCGTTGAAGATATTGAGGACCAAACCACGGAATGTGGTTATGTTAGCGTGAACAACGTTGAGACCAAGCACGTCAAGAGCTTGCATCAGTTTCACGAACACTCCAGGCCGCTTCTCACAAAAAATCCGAAGGCTGAACAGACGACCGTCCATCTTGTTCACCTCCACCTGAATCACCCAATTTAAATTCTAACACCTTCATCTAACCTTTTAAATTCATCGTGATCGTAAAGCTGCAATTAGTCCTACTCTTTGCCCTGCCTAGAAGGAACTCGCAACGAGAGTAGAAGCCGACAAATTATTCCATCATTCACCAACTGAACAGTTCAAAAGAACAGATCTACGACTTCAACCTGTGAAGGACAGAAAGACATCTATTTTACTTCTTCAGCGAGTTAGAGGCTCTGAGTAGCTACGGAGACCGTGAATGAACAGAGAAGACCAATGCTTACTTGCATAGGCTGTGTGAGCTCATGATCTCCTTTTCTGTCAACAACCTCAATTACGACGGACTGCGAGTCCACCTTAGGACACGATCGCCCTATGACAATCCCACACCCAAGCTTTGGTTCTTGGTCTGCAGTGACTGGCTCCTCATCAAAACCCAGTGTCCCAGTCATGTCATTATCTTTGTTATCCACAAGCTCCTCATGTAGCTCCTTCACCTGTTGTTGTAGCTCCTTGACGTACTCAATCGCATCGCCCAGTATTGATGCACGGTCCATCTTCATGCAGCGTGTTCCCGGCAAATCATCAGATTTAGATGAATTAGGATTAAAATCTCAACGTGAAACGTAGAATGTGTCCTCTGGTTAAAATGAATTTAGACCGATGAAGGATACATTAAATAACTAAGACATTTTTGGAATGTTGCTATTCACCTTGGTGATCTTAGGAACAAGAGCTCGCAAAGAGTAAAGGCGTTCATTCAGCTTCTTCCGGCGCTTGCGTTCAGCAACCAAGTTTTTTGACAAGTGACGGCGAGTAGACCGGGTGCCTCCCTTCTCATCATCATCGTCTATTGGATCACTGCAATCAGATGACTCTCCTCGCATTTCCTGCTTCACTAGTTGAATCCAAAATTTATACAGAAATACGTCACTTCGATGATTAAATGATTTTTGGATTGAGACAACGATTAGAAGATTTGGTTTGCTTCTTCTGCACTAAGAATATGAAATTCCTGGTACAAACTCGCTACTTGAAAAATGATATGGCCATTCCTAGAACCATGCGTGCTGTATGTTTACCTTCCCCATCATCCTTTGACAACCCACTTCCTCGTGGGGAATCAGTCAATGTGCCTGTGCATACGGTAAAATCGAAAACCACCAGTGAAAAATGATCAACATTTTCATACAATAATGAGCAACTGAATCAATTGTAAAAGGCATTCACAGAACGGTCCATTATATTTAGAGATGACTAAACTCAATCAACGGTAACACCAGATCCATAACATCCATAAATGTTTGTCTAGTTTGCTGGATTAAAGCATGATTTACCATGATGCGGAAAATGTGTCGTTGAACTGGGTAATTGATTCATCAGATCCTGGTCCATGCCTGTGTGTGTACAAGCAAAACATTTGGCGTTTATGCACAAATCTTACATCTCAACACATTGTAAGCTTGCTATTTCAGTTCTGAAGCAAAATTTGGTTGAAAATAGATTCAAAGCTAAAGACGTACTTCCCATGAGCTGGGACTCCAAGGTGGGGTCTTCTTGCTCCCATGGGTGTGAGCTTGGCCAGGAGCTATCCAAGTTATTAGCAAAATGGCGTGTGTAATACATTTTGACTGCTTGCTGGCCCATCGTTCCAAGGGTGGTGTTGCCACTGCCCCCTTGCTTCGATACAGTTCCTGCTTGCCACTGCTCTCCGCACCGATTCCTTACATAATTCACAAGAGCTGCGTTCTCGGTCACCTAGAAAAGCCCTTCTCATTTATGATCATCAGAATTCAACCCAACACGCAGCCATGTTTTCAAATTCTGAGCAAAGAATTGGTTGAGCTGCCATTTCGAAATAGGTTCATGGATTGTAGTGGTTGCAATTGGATAACTTCTTCTGATTACACATGATTGTGAAACTTCTTCACTAAGTTCAGGGTTGACCTAAGATAGAAAGAAAGTTCAAGAGATTCATCATTGGAGAATTGTATGTACATGATTTGCAACCCCAAGCTCCACAAGGCCGCTTTGGACGGGTATGCACACTTTAGTTTGTACTGTCAATTCCTATACACAGTGCAATCAAATCAGAAATCACAAATTAGTTGAACGGCATATATTCTCCTTAAAGTTTTGCTAATTTCACCACCAGTATCCTTCATCAATATTCTAGACCAATTCATAACCAGCTTTGATAGTCATAAAATTTCATATTGCAGAACAGCAGATATCAAAGTCAATCTTTTGGCGAGGCTGTTGAAAGAAACGTACCTGCCCCTCCATGGACGAGTCTCCATGTACCCACTTCGGTTGGCCTCCAAGGAACACCCTTCCTTGAATCCTGCACCCACCGACTATCTTGTTACATGTGCCTAGAATTGCGAAGGTACCGAAGATATAGTATCATATTAGAGCAATAAATAAAATAGCTTCGTGAAGCTCAGGCGTCTTGGTTGCGACTCCATCAATGGGGTGACGTTCATATCTATAGTAATCACAAGAAGATGCTTCTTCTGTGATATTACTGTGATAAATGGTCTTGAATATGCAAAAGATTACTAGATTTATATAGATCAGATGATCTAATCTTTTTAACAACAAAGTGAAGGTTTTAAGGAGGTACCCTGAATCCAATGATACCGAAGATGGCATGGCTGCAAGTAGTGAGCAGATGTGTGTGGCAGGGTGAAAGCCCCTCACATCCGGGCAGCCAGTTGAGGACTCTAGGTAGCGAGTGCTGCTGGATGCACCCAAGTGATCGTTCCCTGGAGCCTCGGCCCCGCTGCAACAGCATCCTATCCAATCGAGGGTCCTACAATGCAACACTTTTTGCATTTCTTAATAAACTTCTATTTTGACAGTCTTACTTAGTGGTATAAAAGCTGCTTCAATGTGCCATAGTTCTTCATGTTAGGGATGGACAAATTCAGATGATTATTAAGGTTTTAGGGCAATATCAGCACATAATTCCGATTTCTGTCGTTAGTAGATCCTCAGCCGACTGAGAGCTCATATTGGTACTGTGCACGTTAAGAATGGCCAGAAAAGTCCATTACGATAGCAATCAATAATTGAATTTTATTATCTTCACCACCAGGGCTTCTACTGAACGCATTCAACAAGGTCACAAACTCTATTTTCTGTGAATTCCTTCTCGCTGGAGTTGCAAAATAATTAACGTTAGTCTTCACACAGTAAAAAAAACTTTGTATATACATGCAAAATTTACAAATTTAGTCGTGGATAACGATTAGCGCGTTCGGACATGGAAGTCATTACCTTGTCTCGTCGCGGAGCTGCCAAAAGACAGCGTAGTCCCACCCTTTAGGTCCTACAATCGACCGCAGACGCTCCTGCACTCCTCCCCCTGCTTGCTTACTCATGACTGCTCGCAAGCTCCTGCACTACATAATCACTTTTTCCATACTTCATTAACATCACGTCAAAATCCAGATGTTTAATTCAACCATTACCTCTGCTCAAGATCACTTTTGACATTGAATCTACCTATTGTAGGTATCACAATGTCTCCGATACTGATATAATGTCCTAAAGGTCTCAGACCAAGGTAATGAGAAAGTATCCATGTGATCATACCAAACTCCAACCCAAGCGTCGCGAGGACTTAGATCACGTGCTATTTCTGAACGCAGTGGTGTTTACATACGCTTGCTGAGCGCTTCTGAGATTTGCGTATTCACTTTCTGACCATTATCAAAACTGATTAGTAAACCTCACTCGCTGTGATGAACTCATTTCGGGTATTGAATGATCAGCCATGAAAACAAGTATCATCAGCTCTCACCCCCCCCCCCCCCTCGCCCATGAAGTATTATGGCCAAATGAGATATGATTGCGATTTTCGTGTATCTTGCCTTCTCTGCAAAGGACCATCATGTTGACTTAGTTCGTTAATTTTAGGAGTTTGTATTGCGAGTACAAAGCAAAGTTCATTGGTTAGAGCTCACCGTTCCAGAAAGTTGACGACTCGGACTGGATTGTTTTATTGGTGGCACACCTAGAACGCTGATTCCTTGCTGCGCAGGACATAAAAGTAAAGGGTTAAGACAATCTAAATGTGACTTGATCCCATCGAGACACCACAACACAGCAATGTACACACTTGCCTACAGTCGAGCAACATTGTGTAGAGGAGTTGATCACAGCTGACAGATCACCGTCACCTCCAGGTGCCTAACACTCCATCATTCTTTCGATTCTACTGTAGTACAGAGTACACAAGAAAGTACAAACTGAGGGATGTGACAGAAAGATATCTCCATCCAATAGTTATGACCTATTTTCCTTCACACGAATGACCGAGAATCGCTCGAGTACGGTTTAGCAATACCTATTTGTTACTGGGAGCCAAAACTTAGGATACCAAAGCACTTAAACGGTTCTGGAACAATATTTGTCCTATATTTGTTTTTATTCAGGACGTACATCCAGGTAGTTCACTTCAATGTCGGAAAAATGTCGGGAGTGTACAAACTGGGGCTGATGAACCAATCTCCCTTGTAGGGTATGCTGATTGACATTATCAACACTTTGGTTGTACAGACGCAGCTCTGGTGGCACAACGTATGCACACTGAACTAAAAACAAACTTGCCTCTCATGCTCATAATCAATGCAACAAAGCTTGATAGGTCCCAAAATACCGACCATCCGAAAACCCACCATCGAATATTTAAACATCAAGTTCATCAATCTCCTCACTACCACACGCAATATCGTCACCTCTAAATTGTGCGACACAGGTAAATCCTGACAGGGAAGCTACAGGAAAGCCCCACGTACCCCTCAACTATGACACCAGCAACAAAGCCTTGCAAGAATACGAAGAATAACTAAGATAAAACCACGACCACTTTCTGACACAAGTATATCTATGCCTCAAGATCAGAAAACACACCACACGATATCTTCGAGCAATAAACACCAGATCTGCACCAGATTACGTGGATCACTCCTAGTAGCTAACCAATCTGCGTGAATCTGCAAACCAGTATGGGTGAACGCATCCAAGCTTGTTCATCACCACCACCACCAACACAACCTACTCCAATCCTGTAGAACAAACTAGAATGTAAACTCATTTAATAGCACCACTTGGTTTGCAACCATACTTTGGCGACTTCGTGATGGAAGGGTCATGATGTTATCGATTTGCTTGCGCTTCACACCCTGTGAACCTCCAGGTCGGTTCCACACCCAGGTGCCAGACTCATCGCCGTCCTCCAACAGTCCAACTCGACTACGTCAAATTTTCCTCCATGCGAAACTTCAAACCCTGCACCACATCGGGGCAGACTACAGTTGATGTTCCGGTAGCGCCAAGGTCAAATATCATGCAAAATACGTGGAATACCTGGGTGCTTATGTAATGGGAGGGTACTGGCAATTTGACCCCCCGAACGTGCAGTGAAACTGGTGAAGGAGAGGAGGGGGAGAGAGCGGTTGCTATCAAGGCCGGGAAGTACACAAGGGAAGATGCCCGTGGGTAGAGATGGCATGATGGCCATGCACCAACTGCTGCACTGAGAGGAGTCGAAGCTAGCGGAGAATGAGGTGCTGAGACGATGAAGACCGATAACTGATGAGCTGCAAGTCTGGACCACCACCTTCTCATTCATAGCGATGGCGATGGATAGCTCCACCTCTTCCTGGACCACCACCTTCCTGAACTCTCACCGGCCTTTCCAGCTACCACATGGAAGCGAGGATACGCTAATAACCTCCTGAAATCCTGCTCGTACGCAAACACTAAACTAATCAAACAATCCCTGCACAACTCCGGGACAATCCTGTTTTTCAAAGCATCAAAGAGATCATTTTTCTTTTTCTTTCTCACATTTTCTTTCAGGTGCATTTCCTCATGTATGAATAAACTTTTGGCGTTTCATAGAATGAATGTTACATTAAGAACTTTTTTGCGTTTTGGAAATACTGTCTTTCTTTTTCTTCGTTTCTTTATTTTTTATTTTTCATTTTTTTTTGTTTCAATCATTTGTTTACGAAAAGACAAGTAAGCAGAAATGAGTAAAAACTAAGCGGAGTAACTTGCGGCAGAGTTGGACCCAGAGCGTGAGAATGTTTTTGAGGGCCTTTGAGGTTTCACACTCGGAGTGCGAAGTCCCCACATGACACGGAATTTTCCCAACAGGATTGGCACGAGTCAAGGAGGTGGGACTTGATGGGTTGGGTGAAGCAGCCCTTTCTCCTACAGGAAGCGTCTAGGCAACAGCTGAGAAAACGAACCCACCCTCCTGCAAGTCTCCCTCAACAGTTACTACATAGTGTGGCCCACGTTACGCTCATCGCCACACCAAGCAGAGTTCGCACACAACGCAATCACTCACGCATATCCTTGCACGAAGGGAGGTTTTGCATTTGCGGTGCCGGTTTTCCAGCTGAAGATTGTGGGCTAGCAAAGCAAGCCAGGGGGGGAGGGCCAACTTTAGCCACGGCAGGCAACAAGCAGCTGTAGGTGGAAGCTTTCTAACTCCACAACCTCCACTAGTGACCAGTAGTAGTAGTAGTAGTGAAAGAAGTAAACCGTATTGATGGTGGTGGTGGTAGTAGTAGCAGCAGTACCTCCACTACTACAGCTGGTAAGATCTTTGACGATAGCAACCAGGGGGAAGAGGAGGAGGACAAGTAGTTGCAATTCCTCCACAACACCTAGTCATTATCATTCTAGGTTAGTTGGTGAGACCATTGATTAGTATGTACAGTGTGTGCCTGTCCGTCTGTCTGTCTGTGTTTGAGATGGTGTGTGAATGAGTGAGTGAGTGAGTCCGTCTGTCTCTCTATCTGTCTGTGTTTCTATCTGTGTGTGTGTTTGAGGTTGGGTGGGCGTTTCGCTGTGCTTGTACTGCTTCAGAATTGGCTCTAATGGTCCACTGAGATCTGTAGTTGGTACCTAATTGCATTGGATTTCCTCTTCCACCTCTCCATCCCTCTTCCTTTCTCTCCTGCTTCCTCTCGATCATCTCTCCAATGCTTCTCTCTCCTTTGCTTTTTCTTTATCTTTTCTTCTCTTCATCTTCTTTCACATAAAATGTACTATTTTTGTAGGAGAATGAATCCCCTTCTTTTAAGGAGTTTACAGATTTAATTAAAGAGCTAGCAAATGATAGAGCTCTAGGTCCATATGACATTGGTATTAAGTTCTTTAAGATGTAGCTGCAACATTATGAATTATAAATAAGCAAGTAAAAAATAAATTCAGAAAACATATATTATTGCAACTGTTAATATTTTAATGAATTTTTTTGTTTTCAAATTCACAACATAAAATGAAATAATCTTAAAATAGAAAATTATTTATGTTAAATCCCTAATTGATATTGCTATACCTCACATGACTTCTATATGACTTAAATTGACTAAAAAACAAGCTTATATGCTTATGGTGCATATTTTTTTATAGCTAAAAAATAAAATAAAATAAAATAAATAAATCAAATATGTTGTTAAATTTTTTTAGCTTTTAACATGTTTTTTCGTAAAATATTCATTGTCTCTTTTTCAACCACCACCCTTTCTTAAAGCAAAGAAAGAAAGGAAAAAATAAAAAATAAAAAATAAAAAACAAATAAAAGATGCATTTTATTATCTAGTTATTTACAAGAAAGTCACATGGGATGCATTAATATCAATTGGAGATATAAAATTAACAATTTTCATCAAATATTTTGTCTTAAATTTTTAAAAGATTCTAATTGTATTTAAAATTTGATTATTTATATACTTATATATATATTTTTTAATTTTTTTAGTATTTTATTATTATTATTATTATTATTATTATTATATGATAAAATATCTAAGATTATTAAGTTATTAACAAAAAATTATATATATTTTTTAAAGATAATTATTGTATTTAACAATGATAAATATTAATTGAGCTTAAAATCTAAAAATATAATTAAATTTAGATTATTTTTTATAATTTATATTATAAATTATGAATAAATAGAATAAATATATTTATAGGAGAATGTTAAATTGATCCATCTATCATTGTACTCTCCATTCTAATCTTCTTCCTTTTCCTTCCAAATAATAGCCCTATTTAACATGTTCTTCTATAGGAGCACAAGTTTCTATACTTCCTTTCTTTTTTGGAGTCAATGATTGCATTGAGCTTGTCCTTCTCTTCTTCACGAAATTAGTTGTTGTGTTTAAAGTCTTATTTTATGAATTTTTGAAGTTGATTAGATTGTTTTGTAGATGAGAAAGTATAAGTTGTTGTTTAAAGATTTATCTCATTATGTCTTTTAGCTGTGATTGATATTGAGGATCTTCTTGAATATCGAAGTAGAGTGTCTAAAGTGATCCATGTAGGATATCTCAAGGCTTTTTAGTGAAATAAATCTCTTATATTTGTGGTTGATGTGATTAATTGTTTAGGTATGTGTTCAGTTAGCTTTAGATTAGATCAATGGCATCTCCAAAACCAACATGAAGAAGAAAAAGAAGAAGAACTTGACTCACTTCATAAAAGAGAGCACAAATACATATGCTTCTACAAAAGAATATCTTAAATGGGACTACCATTTGGAGGGATTAAGATGGGAACAATATACAAAGAAGGTCAAAATAAGGAATCGGAGGCTAGAGATAAGAATAGCAAATAAAGAGAAGATTTGGAGGGATTAAGACAAGAACATCATACAAAGAAGGTTAAGACAAGGGATTGGAGGCTAGAAATGGGAATAACAAACAAGGAGAGGGAAGGAAGGAGAGGAGGGAAAGTTGAAAAATAAGTTGGGAATGGAAATAATAGACATAGATTAGGTAGAAAAACATGGGGTAAGAAAATTGAAACAGATGACAAAGGATACAATGATGGATGGATCAATTTAATCACTACTAGAGTCAATTTAATACACACATACATACATACATAAACATAGACAGACAGACACACACACATATATATATATATATATTTAAAAAATAAATATTAATAATTAAAATTTAAAAGTATAATTTATTAAAAAATAAATTCAAATTATTTAAAAATATAGCTAAAAGCTCTAAATTTTATATATTTAAATAATATAGATCTAAATAATATTATTATAAAATAAATTTCTTGAGATATTTAAATAAAGAAATTTTTTAAAATTAAAATTGAAATATTATTTAATATTAATTAATAAATTTTCTAAATTTAGATCTTAATATATTTTATAAAATTACTAAAAACTTATCATTAATAAGCATAATAAATATTTATATATATTATCATTTTTTAAAATAATATTATTAATTATTATACATGTTAAAAAATTTAAACAAATTTTTATCTTTTAAATAAAAAATTATTCTTATTTTTAATAGCAATATAGAATTGATTAATTATATTGTATTAAAAATACCATTTTATATTATTATATTCTTTAAATATATCATAACTATTATTAAGAGATTTTTAATAAAATACAAGGGAAATTAGCAATTGGCAACACAATTGACTTTATGACAATTTTTTTATTTTTATTTTTATTTTTTTATTCTCCTAACACTGAATAATATTTTCTATGCAAATACAACCTATCTAAATCTCTGATATATCTCATATTGTTGGTGCTTTTGACCTTGCAAACAAGTGTATCCACAAGTGGTTTATGACTTGTATTACAGTAAATCCAACTTACTTATTTATAGATATGTTAGCCACATTTTAATTTTGATATCAAAATATTTCTAATGATAACTAAGTATATATTTAGTTTTTTAACATATATCAATTTAAAAATAAATTAATTTATAAGTACTAAAAATAAGAGATATAATTAATAATAACATTCAAATCTCTTTTATTAAAATATTTCTACTAAGTAACTTTTGTGATAGATTAGTAGAATATATTTATAGTGTTATAGTCAATCTTCTATATGACACCTTGTTTAATGCCTTATGCTATCTATAGCAAGTTTAAAATATGTTATCAAATTTGCATTCTACTTCAATTGATCACTCATCAAAATTTATTATACTAGAAGAGATTTGAATTAGCTATTATCACTATTCATATCAATATAAAAATTTCCAAAATTTTACTCAATAGTGGTACTAGCATAAATGTTATCATTGTGTCATTGTGAAAGACATTGTCTCCAATTCCATCTTCTAATGTTTATTACATTTAAAATAAAAATAACAAATAACTTTGTTATTCAATTATTTGGTCTTATTTGTAATTTTATTATTTATATTTTTAGAATTTTAAATAAATTTATTTTTATAATACTTAAAAATAATAATTTAATATCTAATTATCAAAATCTCATTAATTATGCTTGATTGAAAGATGTTTGCATTATCTATGACTAGCATAATAACTTTTTAATTATAGAAAATAAAATAATTTATAATCTATAATTAAAATAAATCTCATATATAAATTAATAATACAAAATAGACAATGATACTTTAA